GTATATTTATATTCGCGCGGGAGCGTGATTCGGCTCTCGGACACGCGACGCCGCGACGAAAATAGTGTGTTTCCGAATGCGTCACCGTTTTGGTGAAAACAGGACGTGTTTACCCGCCGACGCGCGGTGTGCTGCTTCATCCGCGATTAGCGTGGTCGTAACGTATCTTTCTCGCGAAATGTCTCCTTCGCTTTCTCGATCTCACGTGAACGGCTTGTTACTCGGCTGAGGAGCGACGTCAGCCGAACGTGCTGAGGCTTCAATTCGATGAGCCATCGTTCTTTTCGTCCAGCGTTCGTTTAAGTTAAGAAGGAGTTGTCAATCGTGATAAACAAGTGATATTAACGAATCACTCGTTATCACTGATCGACTGATCAGTCGAAATTGAAAGGAGATATTAACGAGAAAATGTCTAATAAAAATTCGAGTGTGTTAGATGTATCGTAATTAGGAATAATCATATACGCAATTATTATACCGTTAATGACACGTGATAATTTTTAAGCGATAAGGAAATCGCCGGTGTCGTTTAAATTAAATTGTAACGCTAATTGAGTCACTCCTTGTGCAGTGATAACGCTTGTTGTTCTTACAAATATCTTATTTTTATCGGATCGACAAACGTCGCGTCTCGGCGTCGGCTGGCTCGAAAAATACAGGATCATCGAGAGAGATGCCCGCGGCAATTGCCCACGCTTTCGGTGCAGTATATGTACATTTTAAATAAATTTTAGTAAGAAAAAGTTGTTATACTGCGTGTCACGTGAATATGAATGTTGTGCGAATGAAGTACCATACATCTTGTAGTGACGTTCAAGGTTCCAAGAGGTTCTCTCGATCGCGTCGAGGTTTCAACATTGGTCTCTTGCTCGCCGAATGAATCTTAATTTATGGAGATACCATTTAACGCCGGTCGCGCGGCATTCGTGGCCTCAAGGTTGCATTCGCAACAGACGGGCAAAAATATCCTCCGACGAGTCGGAGGAACAGGAAACGCCATTCGCGATCTGGGGCACGACACAAATTATACACGCGGCAATCGTAAATCCGCGTGGGCGCGTTCCATCGTAATAATTTCGATGAAGGAAGAAATATGCGAAGGTTTTTGCAGGTAAATAGCGGATGGGAAATAACAGAAAAGGTGCCCGGTAACCGCATCTCGCGGCGTCACCGAGCGCGAAGTTACGAAGGTCCGCTCGAGGAACTCCTCACGTTCTGTTTTTTTTTTCTTTTGCTAACTTCGCGTGTCGTCGATCTGCAGCTGCCTCGGCACGATGCGTCAAGTAATTTATTTTCGCATCTAAATATAGCCGCGGCAGCGCCATGCACCGATTTGCATAAGCGGGTTGGATTTTCCTTGTCGTGTATATAATATATACATAATATATATATTGCTGACGCGTATGCGCGCATGTGTATGTGTGCCGATATTATTTTATTTAATATTTAGTAAGCTGCTCGTAGAATTTTCAGCAATTTATTTTGATGAAAATAAAATGGGAGAACTAACTGAACTTTTAAATACACATTTAATAACATCATATATATATATATATAATATTTCATATTATAATTTAATTATATTATATAATAAAATTGTTGAAATTATTTTATATCTTACTTTTTATATCAACGACATAAAGCAGTTGTGAAGAAATACTATGATTAGTACGACAACCTCGAGTTGTCATATTTTGCTCGAGTAATACCGAATTAAAATTTACGTTAGATGATTCATGTAATATAATATTTAGCGCCGAGACACGACCGTGTCTCATGATAATATAATTTGATTTCGAGGAAAAATTCTATTTTTAATTTTATACTGTATTTTGATGCATACACTTTAATGTACATAAGTATAATATATATGTGTATTTGATTGTCCTTCATATATGGCACATACAATCTTAAATTGAATTATATTTTAGAACTGTTTATTTAAAATTTTTTTTACAAGATCTATAATTTCGTTTTTATTTGTAATTTTTTTATGTGCATGCAGTGCATTTTGATACTTTATATATATATATATATATATATGTGTGTGTGTGTGTTTTCCGATTTAAATGTTCGTATTATTATTACACGCAAGATTACAAACAGAAGTACTCCGAATTCGTTAACGCGAATTATGGATCGGCCAAAGTGGATTTAATTTCGCACAGATTCGCCGACATATCGGCGATCGTAACAAAAGTTGATTTGCGCACGAGGCAGACTGATGATAAGCTAGAAGCTCTCCGCGGCCGCAGTTGTTGTCGCCAAGATGCTGGGATCCGGTGATGCCCGGTTATCGTTTGAAAAACACTGGCTGGACCACCGCGGTCAGCGCGCACGCCGATAAACTCTCGGTCATAATGCGAGCTTTCATGCCGCAGAGCGCGCAGAGATCACCGAGTACCGGTTATATCCGGCACGCCGATAACTCGACCCCGTTAAAGCGGTTCTCGCGCCGCTTTTTTTCCTCCGTCGTTGTCGTCGTCGTCGTTGGATTTCTTCTTCTCACTGTTTCGAGACGCGATCGCCGGTCAATGTGCAAATAACTGCCCGCCGTTCTCTCGACACGCCTCAGCATCCTTCAGCATCGTCGGGGCTTATCTTGACTTCGCGGATGTTTGCAGAATTATAATTTAATGAGAGAAAATTCGATAATTGGCGATATTGTTTAAATTACAATTTACTGAATTCTGTCTTGATTATATGTATCTTACAATTTACATAAGATGCGATTTGTATGACAATTGTACTAATCATTTATGATAAGTGATAATTTGTGCGATACAGGGAAAAATTGTTTGTAAATAACTGCATTTTTTTAATTCGCAGTTTTTTTGCGCGCATGTTCACATTCAAGTTTACTACCGCTCTCTCTTTTCTCTCTCTAATTGTAATACAAATGAGAGTCAATAATGACCGCAGAGCATTGATTGATATTTTATAGAGCAGTTAATTTTAAACATACATTGCCATAAATCTGAATCCAAATCACATATTGCATTATTAAAATCATAAATGCAAATGTTATGTGTTTATTCACATTTATTATATCACATCAGACTTTGTAACAGAAATGACGATAACTCGGCGCTGGCGGAGATTAGCAAGAAAGATGACTGAATAACGTTTTGCTATGTTTTATGCGTTTTTGCCCATGTGATAAGGATAGAATGATTCGTTTATTTCGCGGAAGGAGTGTAGAAAATTACATCAGATTTGGCAAAAACAAACTCGTGCCTCGAGGAAATTATGTTTTTTATTTATTAGTGGGGGAGTAAAGATCTTATATTAACCGGTTACATGCGCTTATCATGACCTCAGTGTCTCGATAATTTTTAACTGTTGTGAGATGTGTCTAACATCATATCCTATGAACTAAATTGATAGATAGAAGACTATAGTCGGTCTTCTCCATTTAGAAATTCTGATAATCATAGTTCATTTCTTCATTAATATTGTGTGCATCTTGTTTTAGTAGGTATTTACTTTAGCTTTTGGTAAAAAAATTATTGGAGATATATAGGAATATGTAAATGAACTATTTTTATAAAATTAAATAAAGATTAACGGATCGTTTTACTGAAAAATTTTATGATGAATCTACTTCAGTGGATATCCGACGGATAGCAAACGTGAGAAATATGTCACGTGACAGTTGAAAACAGAATTTTCACACTTTATATGTATAAACATAAATAATTGTATAGCGATCGTGGCGCAGAGAGTTGTGCGTCTGCTTTCGGTGCCAAAGACTCGAGTTCCAACTAGAAACAGCGGATTTTTATTCGACGCTACCTCTCTCGGAAGACAGCAGCAGACCACTAACAATGAGAAGTATATCTTGCCATGAAAACCTCTCTAAATTATAACGTTCGGAACTGACGTTAAAACTGTAGGTTTCGTACATCTGTGTATAACATTGTAAATAGCATACACCACAGAAATACGATGAATCACCACGCTTTTAACAAGAGGCAAAGAACTCGAATATAAACATAAAGAACTTGACATGTCAGGCAAAAAATCATCAATAATGATAATAACTAGTCCTGACTAGAGAAACCTAATATTAAAAATAATGTGTTATATTTAAATTTGAGCAAGAATTATGTAGTTATATTACTTCTGAAATGATTCTTATCCATATATTTCATTATAATTTATAAGTTAAAATGAAGAATATGGATAAGAATCATTTTTATCAACTTTCATTTACCATTTAATCTCATAATATCAGAAGTAATATAACTAATTCTTGCTCATATTTAAATATAACACATTGTTTTTAATATTAGGTTTCTCTAGTTGGGACTAGTTATCATCATTATTGATGATTTTTGCCTGACATTTCAAGTTCTTTATGTTTATATTCGAGTCCTTTGCCTCTTGTCCGAAGCATGGTGACTTCTTATTGTATTTCTGTGGAATGTGGTATGCGCTATTTACAATTTACACAGATATACATATACATATAACAGCTATCTGCTTAAGAATTTTTTTGTGCTTTATTTTATTAACCAGTATATAACTAATAATTAATAATTATTCCAAGAATAATGTTTTTTTAGCGCTATCTATTGTAATATTAGAATTGAGCATCGTAAAATATCCTGTTCAATTAATTTGAAGTCTTTCTTAGAAATGTCGTTTGCAGACATTCGCATAAAATATTTGTCAGCGTCAGCTCGCCCATAAGTACGATCGACAGAAAGATAATCGTTGCAAGACTTTAGAAAATTGCATGGAACCGGCGGGAGAAATTCGACGGCGGGAAGTCAAATGGCGCGATCGGGTACAATAGTTTCGACGGCAGTAATCAAAGTCAGAAACAGCAAGACCAGAAGTTGAGGGTTTGGCTCGACGCACGGCGTGGCGTGACGAGTGGGGCGCGACGGGTGAGACGCGTGTTGCCTCACGTGTTGGGCGTAATACATCGCGTTTCCGACACGTGATGCCTCCTCATAGCCGCGCGGCGCGGCACGGTGCGGCGCGACGCGGCGTGACGTCTCCCTCCCGATGGCCGAAGAAGAAACGCGAGTGTCGTCGCTCGCGGCTCGTAGTCGTCGGCGCGCCTGCGATTCGCGAGCATGCACAGCATTGTTGTTCGATAACGAGAGGCATCGCCCGTCCCGAGTGTTGAGTGGCCGGCTAATCTCTCACTGAGTTTCGATAATTGCGATAAGTGCTTTGAATAATTCTGAAAAATTATAAATTGTTGTCTTTAAATAAATAAATAAAAGAAGCAGAGAAACAATAAATATATTTGCAATATATTGCAATATTGGAAATCGATTGTACTTTAATGCAAACTTAAGTAATAATACTCTTAAATGAATACGCTGTCTATAATAATACACAATTGACAGTATCGAAGAATACCAGTTATAAGATACAAAATATAAAATCGAACATTTTTCGTTGTGAAATCCATTTGAACTGGATTGTATGTGAAACAGCTGTTGTGCTACAAGTTCTAAGTGTCCCGGCGTAATTACTCGATACAGTGTGAATTGGTCGAAGAAGGTATAATTCGGAGTCGAATTTTCTTCGGGAAAATTATTTCGAAAGTGAATTTTAATCAGCGCAGACTCCGATATAGACTATCTATATTTGTCGAGATAGAAGTTTATTTTCGAATGGTGCGCACGTGTACCGTGCGTATCGCGGATATTTAAAGAGAAGCAGCAAGAACGATAAGTGATCTTCAAGCGGATCGATATTTCCGCTCTCAAAGATTTCGCGGAAGGAGACTCGATAAGGAGGTACCTTTTCTCTCCTGTGTTTTGCCACTCAAGACAGGATGGTCACGCATAGTATGGATAACATCCTGAACATGCAGTACTACCCGACGAACAGCCACGTCGACGCGTCGGTGCATTCACCGCCACCGAGGAAGAGACGTTGTTTGAATAAAGAGGTGAATACGTTTCCGTCAATCTGATTGAGCGAAATCGATATCCCGTTCCTTTCCGCTCGAGAGGAAAAGACAGTGTCACGCAGTCTTGTAGTGCGATGAATAATTGAAGGATGCCATCGGAACGCATTCTTCCACCAAAGCCCGACTCTTTCATTGGTTATAACATTAAATTAATTGTGTGACTTTAGGAAAGGGTATAGCGTCTAATTAATTTTTCGCGTTCGAGAAGAAGTTTGCGTTAGGAAGCTGGCCGAGGCTTCGGGCTACCCCACATATGAAAAGTCGCTGTTTCATCCTTCTATTATGATTTATGGTCTTTAGGGACATTATACCTCGCGTATTCCGCTCCCGTTCCCGTCGTGGGATGCGCCGATTTATGCGCCGATCACTTGCGTAATTTCGCATGAATGAGTTCCATGGAAAACGCCGCGTTGGCCGCGTGCCAGGAACGAACGTTACCGCGGGCTCGTATGCTACGCGCGCTCGTAAAATGAGCACAGATCTCGAGGCGCCATTGTGACGTCGCTTTTGTCCGTTTTGTTATTTTCAACGCATAATTGCGGAGCAGACCGCGCGCTTCATTCTCTTGTAAAATTTGTTTTGAAACGAATCCAACAGGCGGTTTGTTCGAATGTATGGTTTGCGTCGATTATCTTGAACACAGAGCAAATTGTGATTATCTGGATGAGTATGGCATGTTGTTTGTTTTCAAAGTAGAGACTCCCGAGCAAGAAATGTAGTTATATAAGATTCGACTGTGGCACGATATGCAGATGATAATTTAAAAATAAAAAATAAAAAAATTCAGAAAGATTGTGTTATACTGTTCTCAAAATAAGCAGTGCAAGTATGGAAATTTGGCTGGAGCATCGTGAGGTTGTAACATGAATTGCAAATTAGCTAAATGGTTCGATCCATGATAGATCCGGTTTCGTGACTGCGACTGTTCATTCAGCTCGTAGCGTTCGGTATACGCGCTCCTGTCTTGATTCATTTAAAGAGCTCGTTCTTGAGAAAATTGTGATTATCGGGGATATCCCGTCCTCACGCGTATCACGCGCAATTTTGTCGTCGAACGTGAGATTTTTCCATTACATCACGTTGCTTCGTGCCTGATCGTCCGACGTTATCTTTCCGCATATTCGCACGATAGACGAACATTTCGGCGAATTAAGGCGGTTACCTAACTAAACACGATACGTGCCTCGAGATCGTGACACGCGGCACGTACAGATAATTACGCTCCAGCAGCGAATCGCGACGTGACCTTTGAAGACGATAACGTGTTTTAATTCGTTTGTGATAGCGTAATTACGATTTCTCTCTTTCTCTCTCTCTCTCTTTATCTCTCGTTCGCGACGAATGTCGTTGTTTTAAGATATCCGTGGGTGGACCAATGAAGATTGCTTAACTTGAGATCACATTTTATTTTTGAGCCATAAACTCTCTAATTGCGATAACAAATCTTTGTAAAAATTTATGAAGTTCGATATTTTAAATCTCTCATTTTTTTAATTAGTAAAAGATTAAGTTTAATTGGGTGTAAAGCATGTACAGTACATACAAACCGAGCGATTGACGTCTGACTATATCTTGATCGTTACTACTGCAAGATAAGCAAAAAATTAAATGTATCGACTTGCGTGGGAGTCTTTTTTAAAGAAAATATATCTGATATATGTAATGTTACCATGTTTTTCAAAATATTGATAAATATTTATATTGTTTTAAACATATTTAACATATTTAAATTGCAAAGAAGACGACAATATTACATTTGCAATTTGTTAATCTGACGAATAATTATTTCATAAATTTGAAACTTCCGTTCACATATTAATAAATTACAATAGTAATAATATAAGATTATATGTTAATAAATGATATGATTATATTATATAATTGTACATAACAAAGCTCTAAAATATTTCAAAGCGTCGATAAACGGCTCTAAGATATTAAGGCGTTCAGTAGATAATTGGATCGTATTCGTTTTGTGTTGCAGCAAGATCCGATGTCACACAGGATCATCGAGAAACGCAGAAGAGATCGTATGAACAACTGCCTGGCCGACCTCAGCAGACTCATACCGGCGGAATACTTGAAGAAGGGTCGGGGCAGAGTCGAAAAGACGGAGATCATCGAAATGGCGATCCGTCACATGAAGCATCTTCAAGGCCTCCGGCAAGGTGAGTTCGCGCGATTTAATCGATTAATTCCGTTCGCGATTCTCCTAAACAAGATTATTTTGGAAATGATAATATGTCACCGCAACACCGGCCATTGTATTTCCGTGAGTTGGCAATAACAGCAGCTAATGTCACTCCACAAGTAGACCGATTGCAGACTGCGAATAAGAGATATACGTTCTCTCGGTGCTTTTTAAAGACGACGAGCGCATAAGTCGTACTTGTGGCATCGCTTATTGGAATTTGCAATATGTTTCATTTAGATACCAAGCACTCGCCCGTGACGCCGGTGCACACCCATCCCGAGGACAGCGTGGACAGCGTGTCCCATTCGACCGCGGCCTCCACCGCGGCGGAGCATTACAAACTGGGATTTCAGGAGTGCTTGAGCGAAACCATGCATTTTCTCATCGAGGTCGAGGGTTTTTTCGCGAGGGATGCCCTCTTCGTACAGCTCATCAATCATTTGCAGCAGCACTGTGACAAAATCGTAGCCACTAGTACGTGTCATTCGACTTTTGAAAGATATAAGCAGCTTAAAATCTTTTATTTAGATTTAGAAAATAGCGTACTTTAATACCTTCGATCCTGCTTTTCACACAGCGATAAACAACGATGAATATCGGTTCACTACAGTTTGCATACCTTGAAAAGAGAAAATAATATTTAAATTTTAAAGTGCATTCTAATAAATGTCTTTTTTATATGTTATCACAAAAATTATGGATTCTTAATACGTATATTCGCGCGCGCCGGTCAAATTAATATTTTATCTTCAAAATTTCGATACAAACGATAAAATTCTATAGTTATTCTTCAAAAAGATCGAGAATACCTGATATACTTTAAAAGAAGTTCCGACAGTTAATCATTGGAATTTGCTCCAGGTGACCGATTAGGCTTTCCGCATCCCGAGCTGCCAGTGATGAACGGCACGATGAACGGCGCCGGCTACTCGCACACGAGTATTCCGACGATATGCCAGCCCAACGGCGGCCACTCGGACCACGGCTCGAGCTCGGGCGTGAGCTCGTTCGGCGATCCGGAGCGCCCGCTGCTGCGACCGGCGATCGTGCCGCCGCCGACGATCGTGAGCGACGACAGCAACCACAGCACCCACTCGCACAGCACGCCGCCCGGAGCCGGAAGCGTCTCCTGTCGGGACCACCGGCCGACCAACTACAAGTTCAAGAGCTCGATCAAGCAGAGGTTCTCGGCGGAGAGGGTGAAGTCGTGTTCGCCGCCGGTGTCGAACGGCGCCGGGCTCGACAAGCCACCGTCCTCGTCGTCTCACGGGGTGCCGATCTTCGCTCTGCACGACGCCGGATCCTTCTACGTGCCACTGACAGTCGAGGCGTCCCTGATCAGACCCCATCTGAGCTTCATTCCGGACACCGGGCCCGACACCGTTCTGCATCCGGTCACGATATCGGTTAACTTCAATCACTCGTCGCCGACGGCGTGGTCGCAGCACCACAGTCCCACTCACCAGCATCAGACATAAGGGAGAGGCGAGAACGGTTAAAACGAATGACTCGTCATCCGATCGCCCATCGTGTCCATCGTGAGCGATGTAAATATACTCTGATCCATCAACTTCCGATACGCCATCAGTAGACTGATTTTTGCATTAGCAGTGCCCTAATACATGAGTATAAGAATTCTTGAATAATTCTGTCAGTCATTGCGATGGAATCGGGAGAGATAACGAGACCGTCCACGTGGCGCTCGCGAGAATCAAGAACAGTTTGTTCCTCCTATTTTATTGATCGCAATACGCGGTGGACATAAAGTGACCTATATACGATACAATTCGTTGACATAATCTAGTATACATCGTTAAATCTCAATAAATGAAATAAATTCTGATCATGTATCAAGTCTTTCTTGTTATTCGTATCGGTATCTTAAAAGTAATTGTGATGATAATTAAAAATGTCGTGTATAGGTCGCTTTTCGGATGTATGCATAGGAGACGCCGAAGTCGAGGATGTTTGTACATTTATTGAGGCTGTGGGTCGCTTTAGCATTTACGAGGTTCGAGAGAAAGCGTTGTTGTTAAGGGTTGTAAATAGGTAGAGTATTAAGGATAAGAAGCTCCAAAGTCGTTCTGGCTTCGGTGTGTCTTTCTTCGTTGTTAATCTGTATAATTCGGACATCCGTTTTCCTCCTTCCTCTTCCCTAACGGATATTTCATCTCGTCCCCACTCCTCTCCCCCCGTTTTGACTCCATCTATTTTCCTTTCTCGACGCCATTCTTCATAATTTTCATCTGACAAACTTTTCGCACCGCTATGTTCCCTTAGTAAAAAATCAGTATGAATATTGATGAATCAACGGATATCGTTTATTAATTATTTAACATGTTTGTGAGTATTCAGCGGAGGAGCACGTTGCGTCTTAATACAAAGTAGGGATCTGGAAACAGCTTCGTTTCTTATGTATCTTATAGTAAGATCGTAGTATGAAAAGATCGTAGACATACTATGTCTATGGAAAATACATATAGCATGTCTTTTTCTGTTAGGCTAACGCAGCAAACGCATGACAATAGACAAACGTTATCAACCTAACAGAATTCACAGAAGCGACGATCTTGCTTCGAGATCCCAACCGGATTGATCCGTGTAAATCGATGATTTTCCGTTTTTGCGTTGTAAGTTAGAGTAAAAGTGCCTACACGTATGTATACATACATACATCATACACATATATAAACATGTATACGTATATGTACGTATGTATGTATATAGCGATTCATGAATTCCACTTATGTGATTTTTCCCGATATTCGTTTCTCTTTTTTTTTTCTGCGAATATAATCCTGTGTCATGTTCGATCACGAGAGGATTGAGTCTGCTCGACGCCCCGCCAAGAACGGGCCTCAGCAATTAAAGACTGACCAAGACCTGCATTACATTAAAAAAAAAACTCTTATAAGATCACTGCATTAAGTATATTTGTACATACCACGTCTAGCTGTAACTTTAACAAAGAGAGGAGAAGAAGTTTATGCGGAATAAATTATATTTACCTTAGAAACCCGCCCCTCTTCTTTTGCGTCAACCACTCCGTCTTACGTCACGTCTACCTACGCGAACTCTTCGCCTGCATACACATTTGGATCAACCGGAGGAGAGATGTAGGAAAGAAGATATTCTACTTCTAATAATTCTCTAACTGCGCAATTGCGGTCTAATAATAATTATTTTCCATCTGTCGCAGAATTACGAAAGAGGATAACGTATAATAGTCGGGGAGAAAGTAAAGAGAGACCTGGAGATGCAATTAAAGATTTTTTTTTATTACATCAACGTAATACTGGCTAAGGGTCAAAACAATGTCATAGAACGCGTCTATGGTCAGCGGGAGGGACAGCGCCGAGATCAACATGTTGCGACTCGCGACGGATGTCTCATCCTCTTTAAGGAGATCGCTTTTGCCCTCCTCGAGAGGGGAAGGCAGCCGGACGATTCGCCGACGACGAAGAGAGGGAGCATAGTCTAATGATCCCTATATAACTACAAGATAAATATCTTATAAGTATAATAAAACTAATTGCACAGAGAGCGAGGCAACCAAGTCTCGGAACAAATCAGCCTTAATGAACCCTTCGAAAAGAATCGAGAGAAGTCTTGCTGGGTATGTGCGAGCCAGCGGCGCTCGCCTCGACGTCGCCGATCGCGGCGACGTCGCTAAGTTACTCGTCGCTGCTCCGTCTCGGTGGAGACGGGACATCCGACGGGGAGGGAAAAAAAAAAGGAAAGGCAATGCACTCGCCGTCTCGCTCGCTCCCGCTCTCGCGAGAACAGGGGAGAGGATCCCGAGCGCGGCTGTCTCTGCGACACTCCGTGGTTGTTGCTGAATGCTCGATGTTGTATCAATTGAAAAACCTAACTACACAGAGTCCAAGGGAACTGAGTACCTGGTAAATACCGGACACATATCGTCAATATCGAGTAATTAATGATAAACGCGGTAAGACGCGGGGCAACGCTCCTCCTAGCATATGTGAGGCGTGCGCGGAGCATGGGTGAACTGAATGTGCAGGTTCGGATAGATGCGCGGGTTCAACACTACCGGATAATGTAACGGGGGTAAGCACAACATCTTATGACTTTTGGTATTAGTCGACGAGTACGAGTAGTCGAGCGGGGCAGCCACCGCGGCGGCATACTGCATCCTGACGGTGGGTCCCTGCTGCTGCTGCTGCTGCTGTTGCTGCTGCGCGGGGACGCCTGCTGCCACAGGGCATCTGCCGGCGGACTGCGAGCTTCCGAGGAAGCTTGATGGTTACTTTTTCTTCTGGGCTTTCTCCGCGGCCTTTGTTACCTTGCCCTGGGTGTCTTTGAAGGTGACGCTCTGCCGGGAAACATTATGAATTTTTAAATTAACACACATAACTTTGTTACGTTTTTTTTTTTGAACAATTAGTATTTTGTAATCTAGAGATTAAATTCAAGAAAAGACAATTTTATCCTTAATAAATAATATTTAAAATAATATTAGTTTTTCAAATTATTTCCAGGTATACGAAATACGGATATCGCAAAGATGCGAAATTTATTTTTCGTTTAATGAGAACGTTACACAAATGTTAAAATTGTCTAACAATATAATTGGTTAAAAACTATTTTGTTTCGTGAAAGATTTTTCTTTGTAAAGATTTTAAAAATAAGTTTTGACAGCTTCATTTTGAATACTTTATAAGCAGTTGTCTGTCACAAGCGCGAAAGAACCAGATTCGTTCATCGTTGATTTTCTCCCGCATATGATAAGGAAAGATCTTATTTTGAGTGGAAAGATATTATTTCACGATAAAAACAAGAACCAAAAACAGAAATCAATTCCACAAGATAACCGAATAATAAATCATAATATACTGCGTCTTTCGAAGAATGGAAATTCAAACAGTAAGAAGATACTTTATATAACACTTTATGTTTGAAGTCGCTCTGAGCCCGCTTTTATCTTAAACTTTCCGTGATAAATTCCTCGTACCTTGATAACACCCACAGCGACGGTCTGACGCATATCGCGGACCGCGAAGCGGCCCAGGGGCGGAAACTCCTGGAAGGCCTCGACGCACATCGGTTTCGTCGGCTGCAGCATCACGATGGCGGCGTCGCCGCTCTTTATGCTCTTGGGATTCTCCTCGGTGGTCTTGCCGGTACGGCGGTCGCACTTCTCCTTGATTTCAGCGAATTTGCATGCAATGTGAGCGGTATGGCAGTCGAGCACCGGCGTGTAGCCGTTGCTGATCTGTCCCGGGTGATTCAGGACGATCACCTGGGCGGTGAAGTCGGCGGCGCCGCGCGGCGGCTGATTCTTGGAGTCGCCGGCGACGTAACCGCGTCTCAACTCCTTCACGGAGATATTCTTCACGTTGAAGCCAACATTGTCGCCGGGCAGGGCTTCCGTCAGCGCCTCGTGATGCATCTCGACAGATTTCACCTCGGTGGTGAGAGCCGCCGGCGCGAAAGTTACCAACATACCTTAAAATTATAAATTTATAGATAAGAATCTTCCGTCTAAAATGTCATGATATAGATAATTAATTAAATAATAATAGCCATTATTAAAAAAAAATAGAAGTATTAAACCTTAAAATTATAAATTTATAGATAAGAATCTCCCGTCTAAAATGGCATGATATAGATAATTAAATAATAGTAGTCATTATTAAAAAAATAGAAGTATTAAACGTGATATAGATAATTAAATAATAATAGCCATTATTAAAAAAATAGAAGTATTAAACGTGATTTGATTGGAGTAATGCATGACTTTGTATAAGAGAGATTTATAGCAGATCCGAGTTTTGATCCCGACCGTCACATCCCATGTGTAAATCCTCGGTTTTATAAAAGATTAATTGGAGAAAGTCGAAGTTAGATTTATGAGTGAAGATGAATGGTAGCCCACTTCGGGAAATCATATTTCATTTATTAAATATTATTTTCCAAATTTCGTGACTGTAGTTATTTTCTCTAGAATTCATATCATAATCACCTGGTTTCAAGATACCGGTCTCTACGCGGCCGACAGGCACCGTTCCAATACCACCGATCTTATAGACATCCTGAAGCGGCAGCCGTAAGGCCTTGTCGGTGGGCCTGGAAGGCGGCAGGATGGCATCGAGCGCCTCGATGAGCGTTTTACCCTCGGCATTGCCGTCCTTGCGTTCCACCTTCCAGCCCCTGTACCAGGGAGTCTTAGGGGACGGCTCGAGCATGTTGTCGCCGTGCCAGCCAGAGATCGGCACGAAGGCGACCGAGGCGGTGTTGTAACCGATTTTCTTGATATAAGATGACACCTCTTTCTTGATCTCCTCGAAACGCGTTTCCGAGTACGGCGGATCGGTCATGTCCATCTTGTTGACGCCGACGATCAGCTGTTTCACGCCCAGTGTGAAGGCGAGCAAGGCGTGCTCGCGGGTCTGTCCGTTTTTCGAAATACCGGCCTCGAACTCGCCGATACCGGCCGCGACGATCAGCACCGCGCAGTCGGCCTGGCTGGTGCCGGTGATCATGTTCTTGATGAAGTCACGGTGACCGGGCGCGTCGATGATGGTGACGTAGTACTTGGCCGTTTCGAATTTCCACAGGGCGATGTCGATGGTGATGCCGCGCTCGCGCTCCGCCTTGAGCTTGTCCAGCACCCAGGCGTACTTGAACGAGCCCTTGCCCATCTCCTGCGCCTCCCTCTCGAATTTCTCGATCGTCCGCTTGTCGATGCCGCCGCATTTGTAGATCAGATGACCGGTCGTCGTGGACTTGCCGGAATCCACGTGGCCGATCACCACGATGTTTATGTGGATCTTCTCCTTACCCATGATGATTGAGGCTCTAGCTACCTGCTGACACAAGTTGTCGAGAATTCAGTAGTGAGCTATCGATCGAGCGATACACGCGGCGGCGGTGTATCGATTTTAAAGTTGCTTTAATGCTTGTGCTAAAACGTGATTTAATATACGAGTAGCACATAATATGTTTCTCTCTATAGGATAGACCGTGGCGCAATATCCGTCTATAGGCTGTCTACTAAATCGGTCGTACATTGTAGACTCAAGGGAAGGCATTTCAAGCCAGTGTTGAGCCTCCACGCACATATTCAGCTATAGAATGTTCTAAAGCTGTCTCATGGGTCTTAA